GCATCATTAAAAAAAAAAAAAGTAACCACCAAAAAAACTCATGCATTGGTACTAGATTCTTTCAATGTTCAAGATGGGCCTATGTGTTTCAATGATCAGAATATGAAGTGTTCAATAATAGGACTTCTGATTGCTACTAACCTTTAAGAAACTAACCCTCCTCCAACTTTAGTCAAGTATCAAATTCAAACATTCACAGTTTCTTAGAAAACATATTAAAAAGAATTCCCCCCTTTTCCAATTTCCTATTTGTGTGATGCTGGATTTTTTTTGTATACACCACAACAAAGTAACAATTGAATGCAGAAGCAGATATGAAAATTCAAAAGTCTTCTATTGACACAGATAACAAAGAGACATGCAAAAACATAGAATGATACACTTTTCTCACTATTTTATTTGGAAAACATTTATTTTTCATGAAAATATATGGTCTCTGTTAACCAGGCACTCTGGTATGGTAGTAGATAAGGCATTTGTCTGTGAACCAGAAGGTCAGCTGCTCAGCAAAAGGAAGATGGGGCAATGTCCTTCCATAAAGGTTTACAGCCTCAGAAACTTTTTGTGGGTTGCTATGAGTCAAAATTGACTCCATGTCAGTGAATTTGGTTTTTTGGTTTTGGCTAATGTTTAATGGATAAACATTATTTTAATTAAAAAGTTTAATTGTTTTGATTTCTCATACGGTAAATATATCTCATATGGTAAATATAGGAGTCAGCTGCAGGGATCCAGGTAAGGAGAGGTTGGAGAGGTTTCCAACAGGTAAGGGAGACAAACTTGTCTGTCAGTTTGTCCTACTCTGGTGACATGTGGTTGTGCCACTGGTATTCCAAGCCCAGTGGGGTGCACATGGTCATAGGTAGCAGCCTGGCTTGCAGACTGAGAAAGACTAGGAAGAAGGAAGAGGCCATCCATATCTCAAAGAATTGGCAGGGAAAACGTTATGAATAGCAGAGAAACACTGTCTGATATATTACTGCGCAACTTTATGAATAGTCTGGAAACATTGTCTAACACAGAGGAGGAGGATGAGTCCCTTAGGTTAGAAGGCTCTCAAAATAGGACTGGGAAAGAACAAAACCAGCTTTACTCATCTGGGTAAGGTAAAGCTTTCGAGACCTCCATTTGCTGACTTGACACCACTCACATTGAGGAGAAACAGCTACAAACATTCATTAATACTCGGAACATGGAATGTATGAAGTATGAATCTAGGAAAACTGGAAGTTGTAAAAAATGAAATGGAACACATAAAGATTGATATCCTAGGCATTTGTGAGTTGAAATGGACTGGTTTTGGCCATTTTGAATCAGACAACTGTATGATCTACTATGCTGGGAATGACAGTTTGAAGAGGAATGGCATGGCATTCATCATCACAAAGGATGTTTCAACATCTGTCCTGAAGTACAATGCTGTCAGTGGTAGGATAATATACATACACCTACAAGGAAGACCCATCAATACAGCTATTATTCAAATTTATGCACCAACCACCAAAGCCAAAGATGAGGAAATTGAAGATTTTTATGAATTGCTGCAGTCTGAAATTGACTGAACATGCAATCAGGATGTGTTAATTATCACTGGTGACTGGAATGCAAAAGTTGGAAACAAAGAAGAATCACCGGTAGTTGGAAAATTTGGCCTTGGTGACAGAAGTAATGCTGGAAATCTCATGGTAGAATTTTGCAAAACCAGCTACTCATTCATTGCAAATACCTTTTTTCATCAACACAAATGGCAGCTTTACACGTGGCCTTCACCAGATGAAACACACAGGAATCAGATCTACCACATCTGTGGCAAGAGGTGGTGGAAAACATCAATATCTTCAGCCAAAACCAGGCCAGGAGCTGATTGTGGAACAGACCATCAACTGCTCATATGCAAGTTCAACTTGAAGCTGATGACAATTTAAACAAATCCACGAGAGCCAAAATATGATCTTGAATATATCCCTCCTGAATTTAGAGACCATCTAAAGAATAGATTAGATGCATTGAACACCAATGACTAAAAATCAGAAGAATTGTGGGAAGACATCAAGAACATCATCCATGAAGAAAGCAAGAGGTCACTAAGAAGATGAGAAAAGAAGAAAAGACCAAAATGGATGAGAGAGGAGACTCTGAAACTTGCCCTTGAGCGAATGGAAGAAATGACAAGATCAAAGAGCTGAACCGAAGATTTCAAAGAGCAGCTCAAGTAGACAAAGCCAATTACTATGGTGAAATGTGCAAAGATCAGGAGTGAGAAAACCAAAAGGGAAGAACACGCTCAGCATTTCTCAAGCTGAAAGAATTGAGGAAAGAATTTAAGCCCAGAGTTGCAATATTGAAAGATTCTATGGGCAAAACACTGAATGATGCAGGAAACATCAAGAGAAAATGGAAGGAGTGAGTACACAGAGCCACTGTACCAAAAAAAAAAAAAAAAAACCTGGTAGATCTTCATCCATTTCAGGAGGTGGCGTATGATCAAGAACCAATGGTACTGAAGGAGTAAGTTGAAGCTGCAATGAAGGAATTGGTGAAGAACAAGCCTCCGGGAATTGATGGAATACCCATTGAGATATTTCAACAAATGGATGCCACACTGGAGGCACTCACTCAGTTATGCCAAGAGATTTGGCTACCTGGCCAACTGACTGGAAGAGATCCATATTTGTACCCATTCCAAAGAAAGGTGATCCCACAGAATGTGGAAATTATTGAAAAATATCATTAATATCACACACAAGTAAGATCTTACTGAAGATAATTCAAAAACAGTTGCAGCAGTATATTGACAGAGAACTTCCAGAGGTGCA